CTAAGTGAGAGAAATTCCTATACAAGTTATAGGTCGGGTTAATATCCAATCCTCAACAAACCCTAACCCAGATAAACTTTGACCTGGACCTGGACTGGGGTGTCAAACTCATCGTGGGCCACATACATCTAGCTTTGATCTGAAATAGAGCGAAACAAAATATATGAAAAAGAAGCAACCTTCCATCAGTCCATCTCAGCTTTTCTAGTTTTTCACAGACTTTGTGAGCGTGTCCTAAACAGACCTCTTTACTTTATGTTGTGTTTTCACAGCCTTACACGTACAAATAAAAAGATAGCAGTCAAAGCATTACTTCTGAGCTATGAGTGCGCTTTAATCGGCATGCAGCGGATGAGACAGAAACTGGTTTAAATTCCTCTCGTTTCTTGCATCAAAGCTCAGCATGTTTCTGTCTCCTCCACAGATGAAGAGACGGGTCTGGAGGTGCATCAGGTAACTCGCCCTCCGGGCTTCAACGCCAATCGGCGCCGCAGCAGAGCTGTGCTCTATCACCTGTCAGGACACCTGCAGAAACAAGACAAGAGCAAGCTCAAGATCAACAATGTGAGTTTCTCTGCTTTTATATTTACAGCTACATCTACATGACTGAGGTTTCTCTGTGTGGTTAACATCTTTCTGCAGCAACCCATGAAGCTGCCACGCCAGCGTCTGGAGTTTCCTTACATGTGAAACAAGCTGCACACTAACAAAGTCAATGTATTTCTTTTTTACCATTAACCATGTCTGCTGTGGAAGTCCCAGAATGAGGACAACACTGTAACGCTCATTAAACAGCATATAGCTCTGACTGTATGTCTATGATAAGCTTTGCTTACATCAAATGTTTTTGTTACATGTCAGTTTTATGTGAGTTATTCCGGTCCGTTCAATCAGCGATGTGGACACAGTGAAGTGTGGAGCTGTTGCTGACTAATTCGAGGAGTTTTTTTTGGATAAACATCAAGCGTAGGGCTTGGGTGGGTTAGCAGTATTTCCACTATGTTTACGTGAGAAGCATTAAATTTAGGTATGTAAATTCACTGGCTGCAGGCTAAGTTTGTGGCCAGGAATATTCTTTTCATATTAGAATACAAACGAGAACACGTTTGGATGCCAGAGGAAGTGTTATAGTATGCCAGGCTGGCTCCAGACTGCCTCTCATTCAGTCATTTGCTTCACACTTGGGACTTTGGCACTGGTGATGACACTGAAGTGACAGAGTTAAAAACACGAGTTTACTTTATTCATGCAAAACTTTTAATTCACATACATGTTATGCAGCCATGAAAAGATTCTCCAAAGACTGGAGATGGGAGAAAAAAAAGGTTATTGCCTCATTATGATGAAAAGCAGTCAGTTTAATTGCTTCCCTAGTTGCAACAGCAGTCCCTGAACTAAACAACGGGCCAGCCACTGATAGCATAGTAGCTTGTATTATTTGCCTTAGCATGAGTTCAGACTGAAAAAGAGTTGAGCGTTAAAGCAGTGCACCTGGCTGTTGGTGCAGGTTAGTGGTTTAAAGTAACAGAGACAACACAATCCAAATATTTCAGCTTGAGTTAATGATTGTGTGTCAAAAAGCAAAAGATAAAGATAACCTTTATTAGTCCCACGCGTGGGAAATTTGTTGGGTTAAGGCTGCTGACCTTTGCCAGC